TTATTCCATGGAGTTGGAATCTGTGTCTGCTTCATTTTGATTTTCAAAAAACACCTATTTTTGAAACAAAAATTAAAAGCAGAAATGTTTTACTGTATGAATTTCTCAGATAATCAATTTTTCTTTACTATGAATATAAAGAAAGAATTGAGCTTTAAGAATTATTAGGAAATTTCTAGAATAGGCAAATAGATAAAGTAATTTGGTAGTTGTTTAGGGAGTTGGGGGAAAGGGGGGGATTGACCACTAATGGGTATGGGGATTTCTTTTTGATAAGAAAAATGTTCTTTTTTTTTTAAAGATTTTATTTATTTATTTGACAGAGAGAGACACAGCAAGAGAGGGAACACAGCAGGGGGAGTGGGAGAGGGAGAAGCAGGCTTCCCGCGGAGCAGGGAGCCGGATGCCGGGCTCGATCCCAGGACTCTGGGATCATGACCTGAGCTGAAGGCAGACGCTTAATGACTGAGCCACCCAGGTGCCCCAATAAGAAAAATCTTCTAAAATTAATTGTAATGGGGGCGCCTGGGTGGCTCAGTCGGTAAGTGTCCAACTCTTGATCTCAACTCAGGTTTTTATCTCAGGGTTGTTGAGTTCAAGCCCTGAGTTGGGCTCCATGCTGGGCATGCAGCCCACTTAAAAAAAAATATGTAAAATTAATTGTGATAGTTGTACAACTCTGTGAGTATACTAAAATTTATTGAACTGTACAATTATTGTATTACATACTAATTTAATTTTTTTAAAAGTACCCTACCTCAAAAAAAAAAAAAAAAGACAACCACTGGACATTGCCCAGCTTAGAAGAAATAGGTCAATGATAAAGAGTGAATACCTTTGAAGAATTATTGCCATAGTAATAAAATGTTAGGAAAAAGGAATCCGGGGAGCAGAGTTGATTTACTGTTCAGTCGTAATGTCAGTAAGAATCAACTTTAGTAGGCTGCTTAATTTTCTTAAAAATTATGATACAAAACAGAAAACCTTGAATACTAATGCATGTGGCAAGAAAAAAAAAGGCACGTGACATTTTGTAAAAGATTATATACCTTATAAAATTTAGCCAAAACAATGCATGGAAAAACAGGAGAGAACAACTATGTTGCGGGGAAATTTGACAATTCAAGTGGGGATTTCATAGAAAGATCCTTTTTAGTTCTTCCCTATTTTCCTGCAAGTAAAATGTTTCTTATTTTAAAGAAAATTTCCTTTATTTATAGTAGTCCTCTTCTTAGTTAGTCTACGCAAGTATATTACCCATTTAATTTAATTTAGCTCCTAACTTAAGAGCTACTTAAAAAAATTCTAGAATGTCTCAAGCTAAATGTGTTCTGCACAAAACAGCTGCTCAACAATTCAAGGAGATATGATCATAATAGGAAAAAAACCACCAGTATGTGGTTGAATGTTATATCTTAGTCTCCTGCCCAGAGGTAAAATTATAATGTTATATTTTTTTAAAAAGATTTTACTTACTTATTTGAGAGAGAGAGAGAGAGAGAGCACATGAGAGGGGGGAGGGTCAGAGGGAGAAGCAGACTCCCTGCTGAGCAGTGAGCCTGATGCGGGACTCGATCCCAGGACTCCAGGATCATGACCTGAGCCGAAGGCAGTTGCTTAACCAAGTGAGCCACCCAGGCGCCCTATAATCAGTTATGTTAACATAAGATACACTCTGGCAGAGTTAAGTCCAACAAATGAATGAGAAAGTGCTCTAAGAAATTGGAATTAAGGTCTAAAGGGTCTCCCTACCCTTACTTCATTCTTTATAGTAATGAGAACTGTCCCTCAATGCCTCAATTCACATCGTGTGTGACATTGTCTCTACTGCAACTGTTTACTAGGAAGGAAATTACTTTTATCCTATGGCAGTGTGGAAATTTAAATTAAAGAAATGACCTGTAAATTCCCTGAAATCCCCAAGTGGGATATAATTTAGCTGTTACTACAGACCAAGGGGACAGCATTCACTTTACTCTAGATTTTTAGAGTAAAACCTCAGCAAACATCTCATGCAATTTGTGTTTAGATCATAAAATAAATTTAATGTTAGTCTAGCTCCTAGGCACTTAGATTGGCTTTGTAAATTATCGGCTGACTCACACTCACTAAAGTCATCCATTTTATGCCAGACGCTCTATTAGCAGTACAGGACCACAGTGCACTGGTAAACAAAATAATCCATGGAGAGTGTGCTAGGTGTTGCAGATCTCCTGAATCTTCCAAATGATTGTATCTGTTTCTTTTCCTTAACAATAACCTACGTATATCAAAATGAGTCACTTAATCTCTTTGGTAAACCAAAGTTGAAGGGATTAAAAAAATTATTGTTGGTTTTACATGGAGAACTACTAAGAAATTTTCTCTAAATTGTAAGTGAAACATAGAAATGTAGGCAAAGTACAGAAAGGTTCCAAACTGACCAAATGGAAGTTTAACTGCATGGTAAAGATAAGTCTTCAGAGAGGGGAAATCATGTACTACAGAGAGCATGTCAATGACAATCTTCGATACAAAACTATATACATACATACACACATATGTATGTATACATATATAATCCATTCATTATATATGTATATATTATACACAGCACATAGTTTATACACTATACACACATACATACATATACGCATATTTACGTTTTTAGGAGAATAGTTTTATTTTTTCCTAAATCTTTTTTTAAAAAAAAGATTTTATTTATTTATTTGACAGAGAGAGAGACAGTGAGAAAGGGAACACAAGCAGGGGGAGTGGGAGAGGGAGAAGCAGGCTTCCCACTGAGCAGGGAGCCCAATGTGGCGCTCGATCCCAGGACCCTGGGATCATGACCTGAGCCGAAGGTAGATGCTTAATGACTGAGACACCCAGTTGCCCTTATTTTTTCCTAAATCTCTTGACCATAGATTCTTCCCAAGGGATAGGCTATAGATAATTCTGAAAAAATAATATAGAACAATAATTTTGGGAAAGTCTGGGACTCTCTTCTCTCTTCTAGTAGGAAAGATGTTCACAAAAACATATTTACTGATGATCTAACTTTTTGCTGTAAGAATTCAGAGTCATAAAAAAATTTCTAACTCTGGGGAAAATACTATCTCTACACAACTTATCCTTTTGACTGTATATTCAGTTTTAGGCACAATTAGTTGCCCCAATGACCAACACTTTACAGAAGACAGAAAAAGACTATTAAGGGAAAAATATAGGAGACTGTATATTCAAGGGCAGGGAAATAGTCAATTGTCTCTCAAATTAAGATTCTTAGACCACCTGCATCTGTATCATCTGGCAAGGGGGTTAAAATTCAGATTCTTGGGCCCAATCCAAGAATTAATCAGAATCTCTGGGGAAAGGGTTCAGGAATCTGCATTTTAAACACATATTCCATGCAATTCTGGTGTACACTAAATTTGAGTGACTGTACATTTCTGCAACATTTAGGAACCAAAGCATACCTCTCCTTGTATTTGAGGGTGGAACTATGAAACCAAGATTTGTAAGGGTCTTTCTCTGCTGTCAGCCTGGAGCTGGAGGTAGAAGAGGCAGGGCTGAAAGCAAAGGCAAAACAGTATTTTTTTTTTCAAAATTTTTTTATTTTAGAGCAAGAGAGTGAGAGCACAGGGTGGGGGTGGGGAGGCAGAGGGAGAGAGAGAATCTCAAGCAGACTCCCCACTGAGCATAGAGCCCCAAGACCCAGGGCTTGATCCCACGACCCAGAGACCTTGACCTGAGCTGAAATCAAGTCTGACTTAAGCCACCCTGAGTCCCAAAGCAAAATAATTTTTTTTTAAGATTTTATTTGTCAGGGAGAAAGAGAGCACAAGCAGGGGGAGCAAGGCAGAGCAGGCAGAGGGAGAAGTAGGCTCCCTGCTGAGCAAGGAGCCCAATGTGGGACTTAATCCCAGGACCCTGGGAGCATGACCTGAGCCAAAGGCAGCCGCTTAACCAACTGAGTCACCCAGGCATCCCCCAAAAAATATTTTAAAGAGATAAAAGAATTTACCTTCCAATAAAGACTCCAAAACCAGATGTAAGAATGTATGGATTTCATTGTACTGAAGGGAATATGCAAATCTTACTAAAAAGAATGCTACAGATATTAAGAGACATAAGTACTATAATTTTCATGTTTTCAAATGGGCATATGAATGTATAATCATGTCTTACATTTTAGATCTCAATTCAAACAAAAGTGGGTAAGAAACAAAAACTAAACAAAACACCCTTATGACAAAGTGCTCTGCATCTCTTGACAATAAATTCCTTGTTATTTTTCCCAGGGTGACTATTACAATGATAATTCATTTTTTTAATAAAAAGGTGAGAGACGTAGTTTTTCCCATAATACTCCACCAAGTTCCTTTTTCTCCTCTTGCAATTTCCAAACAACACTGAGAAATCATCCATACACTCAATTCAGTGGGGACAGATAGATAGCATGCTGATATCTAATAGCATTGTAGATATCCAGAATATCCTATAAATCATGAATGAGTATAAATTCATTTCCACAAGATTCAAATAGCTAATTCCCCATCTGAATCAGAAATCATTGTTTCTTGTTATTTTTATGGCAACCCAGCATTTCCTTTAATTACATAAGGTATTTTATAGTGCTCATTTACTCACCGGGCATTAATCATGATAATGTCCTCCTCTTACAAAATAAAATCCCAAACCAAAACAATAGTGATAACTACCACCAAAACCAAACCAAACAAAACCCAACACATACTCTTTCTCCAGTACCAAACATTCACTATTAACTACTGCCCATAATGCTCAATATTTAATGCTTATTTCAAAACAATTTTAAAAGAACCACAGCTTTCCTTCCAAATATATCTAAACGGGATAGATAATCAGAAGCACATTCAAAGTGTCAGTAGACCCCTCTCCTATGACAACTTGTCCATCTTGCCCATCTAGTTTCAACATAAAACCTAGAATAATAGGAACATCAATAAAGCTGCTAAGGAAACAGGCACTTGAAGAATTTTTCACAAAACCAATTATTCCCCAAATAAAGTTTATTTTGAAAATACAACATAGTCATATAAATTTAAATAGGACACATCTAGCAATATTAATGAGTCAAATTATATTACAAGTGAGGTCGCCATTCATGTCTGATTATTCCCATGAATGGAAAGATGTAAAGTTGCAGCTAAACCAAAGGCAGATACTTAAAAACAATCATAACTTATTTATTTACTTTCATTTCATACTTGTGTCTAAATATTTAGATGGGCATTGATATAAGTTCACATGAGATAAAGAAATATGCTCCCCGAATAATCAAAATTCTTTTGACTTTTCCTGCTCAGAGAGAGCATCGCAGTAATGTCTATACAAGGTAACACCACATGACAAGCTCATTCCTTCCCAATGAACACAGCATAAGGCTTTCAGCATTGTGGTTCCTAACTCCTCCAGGTTGAGGAAAATAGCAGTGACAATTTAAGAGTTTTCTACATATAGCTGACTTCATCAGAAAAAGGTGTTACATATGTTCTTCCCAAGACCTTTATGTTTTAGTGAGGAAAATGCAATATACAACTAGTGAAAATAGCCTGTATATGATATAATAATTATTTGTAATTCTCGAAACACACACACACACACACACACACACACACACACACACACACACACCTAGAGGTAAACAAGAATGAAAGAACTAAGACACACACCTGGACCCTCTCACAGTACAGGGTTTTTGAGGCAATTCAGTGCTAACCCCAACAATGAAACCAGAGCCATTTCTAGATCGGGGGAGCATTCAAAAGCACCCAAAATAGCCAGTAAACCATCTTCAAAGGATAAGGACCCAAAGACAAAAAACAGCATTGACTGGTAGAACACAACTGAAGAGAGAATTAAGCCCAATAAAGTCAAAGGAGGGCAATATAAGATACTGAACTTGGGGACTGTAATCTTGTTGCACGCATTAGCTGTTGACCTCGGGCAAAACAATCTCTTTGAAGAATAATTTCCTCATCTATAAAATAGGTACACTAAGATCCACCAGCTTTGTTCATAGGCTTCAGAACAATGAAAATCAAAGACAACGATGCACTTGAGATCACTCTGTAAACGATAAAGAACTATTCTTAATAAAGGGAGATTTGGGGGCTTTTTCAAAAGTAATAAGGATAAAAGCCAATTACAGGTAAAATTATAAAATCATCCACTTTTTTAACCCAGAACAGATTTCTATGTAATAGTAGCTGCTGTGGGTCTATGTCATATTTTGATAAGCAGAAATGGGAAATTTTGATTGGCTTAATAAATTTCGCTCATGATATAATGTTATTGTAGTATAATGCACTAGTTATAGATTTTGTTCATTAATAAACCAGGAAGGGTCATTGGCTAGACTTAAAAAGTAAGCACTGACTCAAAAACTAATGATGTAGTGTATGGTGATTAACATAACATAATAAAAAAAAAGAAAGAAATATTATGGAGATTAAAAAAAAAAGTAAGCATTGACTAAATACACTCTCTTCCTCAGTTACAAAATTTTGACACCTTATTACAAAGAACCAGACACATAAATAATTTGTCCTATTAATCATTATAGGTTATTAGTCACTAGGAACAGAACCTTATACACCTTAAGTCTTGGGCAGAAGGTTTCAATGTATACATATTTATAAGTCATTATTAACTTTGTTACTCACTTCAGCATTGCACATCTCCTCCGTAGAGCAGTAACTGTTAACAAGGCCAATTCAACAACCATTTCCTCTTTGCTTAAACAGACTCAAAGGCAGTTACAGACACACTGTCTCATTATAACATGAAAATAGTAAGCCTTGGGCTATTGCACAAATGTCAGTATCTAACTTGGAGAAAATAGAGGGAAGTAGAAAGAGAGGAAGCTGATTTGTGCTATAACCTGGTCTTATTTGGACATGCTCCCAGCTGCAATATTTTAAAGTTACAAGTAAACAAGTAAAACAGAAGGCTTCATATGTGAAAGTAGAAAATAGTCCAGAAGTCTTCTATTCAAAGACAAATTAATTTTTTCTTCCCAATAACTCACCAGAAAGAAATAGGCATTTAGGAATCCTAAGGGCTTCTTCAAATAATATTCAGAAAAATATATAAAAATAAAAAACAGAACAAGAACAGCACATTATTTAAAAGTAAGACTTTTTAAAAAAATGGTTGCCCTGTCTTTAAGGATGCATGCCATATAAAATGGGAACATGTATCTCTATAACTCGTCGTGTTTATATGTAAATTCTCTGGCAGATATAAATCCATCTTTGTCTTCATCTTCTTTATCAAAAATATCCTCCACCAAAACATCATGATGACTTTCATTCACCACTGCACCATGCTTTTCAAACTCCTTCTTTAAATACACTTTAACCTACAAAATAATGGGTCTCATTAATAATTCTAATTCATAAGATACCCACATCAAGCCAGTTAATATCACAGAGTGGACTGGTAGTTCATTTGATTATATAGCACAATGACTAAACAACTACAATATATTTCTAATGACAGTAAAAGAATTTTAAGGAATTTTTCCCCTTAAAAACAGTTGTTCTGCTACAGTAGAGACACAGAATATTGCTCAGAGGCAAAGATAAGGCTTATATTATCTGAAAAACACCTAATGAAAGCATATTATCTATTCTTAATCTGAGTCTAAATAAAGCCAAGCATTTGAAAGACCGTAGTCTTTCACTCCATTGAATTATCCAGATCTCATTTTCTAACTAGGGTCAGAATTCCAGATAGCTCTCTTAAAATAAGATTAAAGGATGGCATTTTTTAAACTTATATTTTAGAATTTTTTTAATTTTATTATTTAAAAAAAATCCAGTATGACATACAGTGTTACATTAGTTTCAGATGTACAATATAGTGAGTGATTCAATAATTCTATACATTACTCACGGCTCATCATGGTAAATGTACTCTTAATCCCCTTCACTTATTTCATCCATCCTCCACCTGCCTCCCCCCTCTCCTAACAGCATTTTTTAATTTAAGTAAGTGTCTGGTAATAGTACATGCCATGGACCTGACTATGATCATGCCTCATGACCTTCCAATCTCAGAAATTAAAGCAAAATCCAGCCTAGTGAGTGCTTAGACTGAAATTTTCCACTCTCGTTCAGACATTTAAAGATATAAACAAAATACTGCTCTTAATTACCCACTAGATTCACCATAATGCAGTTCAACCTGTACTTTCATTTTTAATCAGATCTCTAGTACTCCTTCTGTTAGATCAGTAATTTCAAATCCTTCCCCCCTTACGACCAATATGCAAACATATGACATACATTTACTTTTAAGATTCAGGAGACTTAATGAAGTTGTAAAAAAAAAAAAAAAAGGATGATTAAAGCTAAATGGATTAATATAGAATGTATCTCTAGGATATACTGTGTGAATAAAGCAAGATGCCAAATATTATGTATATCATGCTACTTTTTGTGTAAGAAAAGGGGAAATAGGAAAATGTATTCATGTTTGTTTGTATTTGCATAAAGAAACACTGGAAGGGTACATTAGAACCCAACAAAACAGCATGCAGAAGGGGGTAGATCACACAGTAGAAGAGGATGTGCGTGGGAAAAAGACTTATTAAACACCTTTTTTAATTGGATTGATTTTTTTTTGAACCATGTTAATGTGTTGTATATTTAAGATTTTTGTTTAATGAAAGGTAATTAAAATTTATCTTGGACAGAATAAAGTCCTATGACTGGTAATACTATGAGGTGTTATAAATTGAGTAACTGTAGATCATGACCCTGTGACTTCATAACAACTGCACTTATTTAAGACTTAATCATTTCCTGGCCATTATAATGAAATCGATCAAAACAGAAAAAGGGACTTGATTTCTGACCAGCCAAGGAGGACGGAGAACATGGACAAACAGAAAAACACAGAGTAGATGTCTACCTCCACTTCTTTCCCCACAGCAGCCAGACCAAGACAGGTATATGTAAAAATGGCTGCAAAAGCCTAAATAAATTATAGAGAAAAGACTTCTTGCTTTCTCCTTACTCAGACAACAGGACTAAGAGGGGGCTGGGAAAGTTCTCCTGCTCTGGAAAACCCAGCCTGGAGTCTCCTTTCTCCAGGTGTGAACCAGAACAAAACAGCATGTTGAGTTGTTTGCTGCTAATTGCTAGGAAATTACAAGTGCATTTAACAGACAGTTTACAGTTTACAGTTTTAAACAGAAACCTGAGATATTTCTCAGGACATCTATGTTTCTTATATAGCAACTCCAAAATGGGAATTGTCTTAGCAAAATGGATCTTTCAAAAACTCAGAGTGAGGACAAGATACAGTGAACCTTAAGCATGGTGGGGGTGAGGGGGGCAGGGGCAAAGGAATGAATGATGTTTCTTAAGTCTCAATATATTTCTCACCAAAACAAGGATTTCCTATTTAAAAAAAAAAAAGCCAACATTCAAAGCATCAGTATTTTAAGAAAATTTATAAATAATGTTTTATCCAAGTAAAAATACATTTTCTTTAAAAATATATTTTTTAAAAAGGGAGAAGAAAGAAACAAAGAAAGAAAGGAATATGAGGAAGGAAAGATCACCTCAGCTTTAGAGAGTTTCCAGTCATCATTAAGATCCATTTCTTGGAATGATTCATGAGATCTTGGTCCATTTCGAATCTCCAGGAGATCAATGTTGAATATCAGTGTACTCTCTGGGGGAATTTTACCTGACATGAGGAGAGGGAGGTTAAATTTTATTTAAACAATCCCAGAGTTTTTATGACACAAAACATGTGAAACTGAATAAAATATTCTTTTGATTGAATTAAATGAAGAGCCTTCCTAACATTATCACATGTAAATTACTTATAATTATATTTTACTCAAACAAATAGAATAGAGAAGGAATAATCCAAATTAGTAGATCAAAAGCAGTCTGTTTCTGGCTTTGCAATTACAAATTGCTTTGTACACACAAACACACACATACATACAGATATACCTAATGGCCGGGTATTAAATTTCAAATATAAGTAAGATAGTACATATTACATGCCAAGAATGACTTAAAGGGATTTAGATAATTCAGAGTTAATTACAGTACAAGTGATTTACTAACTTTGGGGTCGCCAAAAGTCCTGACCTAGAAATACATATAGTACTGCCATCTCTACCACTGGGAGGCAGCATCTAGCTGAGTGAGATCTAGTGTCATACCAGCTTCCTAGCTGGTTGGAGAGCTTACTCCTGCCCTTCTTTTAGCCTATTTCCTCATCTGTAAAATGCAGAATCTGTTGGGAGGATGAAGGAAGATAAATCCATGCAAAATATTTAGCATTATACTTGATAAATAGTGAGCTCTCAGTATATGTTAATAAGATATAACTCTCTTACAGGCTTTAAAAACAATACAGAAAGCTTCAACAATTTCAGAAAGTTAGGCAACACCCCCTCTGATATAGAACATTATACCTATTTTGAAGAAATTTCATTAGAGAAGAAATTAAAACAAATTTCTGAAAAGGGAGATAAAAATCTTTAAAAATGAAAAGAGCTTTGTTAAAGTCCCAGGGACCTTAAAAAAAAAAAAACTTTCTGGGAAGTATGAACAATTTTTTTTCAACTTGTTTTCTTATAACTATATTTAACATACAGGTCTAGGTAAACATTACAAATATTTCTTAGCCCCCACCACCACCACCCCACACCCAAATCCCACATATTTCCATGAAAGAGCGTTTGTTAAGTATTAAAGAGAAAAAACTTACACTGTGTGCCCAAGCTTACCGCTCCAGATCTAGACAGAGAAGGGCCATGCACTAGGTCGTTGACAAAACTGATTGTCTTTCCGCAGGAGGCATGCAAACATGATACCAAAGGACTACAAAATTAGTGTTTAATACATATTAGCAGAGTTAGTTTCATGGCTCTCAGTTTGGAGGAAATGACTCAAATTTAGATCTCTACTTGTTATAAAGTAAAACTGAGTTAAATACAGTAGGGAGAAAGAGTAATGGACTAATACTACATACATATTATAGGTGAGACAATACAGATACAGCAGAAAGATAAAAGAATACATTTGAACATCAGAGAAACATTTTCTCGATACTTGATTTTCTTCTCTAAAGAGATTATTAAAATAAGAATTGAATTTGGTTAGTAAATTCCATTCTGTGCATAAGATTTATATAGCAAGTTCCATTTTAGAATATACAATGCTTCACAGATGGCACTTACTTTTTTTTTTCAGAAAACTGGGGCTAGGATTCTCACTTTGTAAATGCTTAAGCTTAGACCTAGGGATACTGTGAAGTCTATATTTCTACAGAATCAGAGTGGTTCCCTGTCTGGTTCTGATGACTACTTAATAATTTTTTCAGGGCACCTGAGTGGCTCAGTCAACTAAGTGTCCCACTCTTGGTTTCGGCTCAGGTCATGATCCCCTGGGTCATGAGATTGACTCCTGGGGAGGGCTCTGCACTCAGCGGGGAGTCTGCTTGAGATTCTCTCCTTCTGCCCCTCCCCCCACTCACTCACCCATGTGTACTCTCTCTCTAAAATAAATAACTCTTTAAAAAATAATTTTTTTCTTCATTATGTAATACATGCCCATCATACAGAATTTGGAAGAGGCAGAACCAGAAATAAAAGTAAATTCCCAGTAGGGGCGCCTGAGTGGCTCAGTTGGTTGAGCGTCTGCCTTCAGCTCAGATCATGATCCCAGGGTTCTGGGATCGAGCCCCATATCAGGCTCCCTGCTCAGTGGGGACTCTGCTTCTCCTTCTCCCTCTGCTTCTCCCCTGCTTGTGCTCTTTCTCTGTCAAATAAATAAATAAAATCTTTAAAAGAAAAAACATATTTAAAAATAATTCCCAGCTGTCCATTGTTATCATTCTTAATTATATCCTTGCGATTCACTCTGTATGTGCATATACTTTTTTCTAATACTTACTCTTATATATTCTACAGCTTTATTTTCCAATTTTACATATAACATTATGTCATACACACTTGGATATAATTTTTTAATCTTTGAAATGCCATTTTTAAATAACTGGGCCCTATTTTATTTAGCTAAAGCCTTCTCATTATCCACTGAAGTTGGTTCCAATTATTTTTGCTATTAGGAACAATGTAGTAATGGACATCCCTGTTCATAAATCTTTCTCCTGATATCTGATTATTCCCTTAGGTTAAATAAGAGAAGAATTATAGGACACATACATATCCTATACAGGAAACATCATCTGGCCTCTTGTAAATAGCCCGAAGGAAAGCTACATGGCTTTCCACCCAAACAGCAGGTGTGCATGCCCGCCCTGCAACAAACTAGCACAAAGTCTCTTGGAAGCAGCTAGCCCATTTGCTTCTGTTTTATCAAACTCATTTCATGTCACTCCATTTATTTTTATAAATGAATGATAAAAAAAAGTTATAAAACAACTTTAAAACAAGAGTGGAAACAACCTCCAAAAAAAAGCTTTGTTGTAGAAAACTTCAGTTGTGAGTCACCAGCAGCCCACATCTAACCCTCATTCAGTGCCTTAATCATCTATATTTTACATGTTCAACTCATCAAAACACGTCTGTGGAATAAATTTCTTTTTGCATTGTTAAATTGATGAGTTTCAGCTGGGGAGGATGAAAAATTTCTGGAAGTGGATAGTGGTGATCCTTGTACAACATGTGAATGTTCAGTGTCACTGAACTGTACACTTAAAAAATGGTTAAAATAGTAAACATTATGTTATGGTTATTTTTTTTTTAATTTATTTTTATTTTTTATTTTTTTTAAAGATTTTATTTATTTATTTGAGAGAGAGAGAGAATGAGAGAGAGAAAGCACGAGAGGGAAGAGGGTCAGAGGGAGAAGCAGACTCCCCGCTGAGCAGGGAGTCCGATGTGGGACTCGATCCCGGGACTCCAGGATCATGACCTGAGCCGAAGGCAGTCGCTTAACCAACTGAGCCACCCAGGGGCCCTAAAAAATATTTTTTTTAAAAAAACCCATTATCTGGGTTAATATGGTGGTTAATTGTTAATGATAGAGTTGAAGGTTCCAGAACTTATCATTAGCTCAGTTGACTATTAAGATATGATGGCTTTAATTTGACCATTTCAAATGATAATCAAGACACAATCATACTTCCAAAAAAATTACACATCCTCTACTTACTTTTAGGGAAAAAAAACACATAGTAGTTACTCTGATTTCGGTCTCCTAATCCAGGGAAGAACTCCAACGCTATAGTAAAAATGTAGAGTTGTTATTACCTTTTCCTTCTTTTCCATAGCCCAGGGCGGGAGGAATGGTGAGCTTTCTCTTCTCTCCTACACACATTCCCTTCAAGCCCTGGTCCCAACCTTTGAGAGCCTCCAGGATGCCCAAGGTAAACCAAATGGGCTGACCATTGTTATGTTTGTGACTACAATAGAAAGAAAACACATTAGAACTGTTTAGAAACTCTATTTTTTTATTGCTGTGGTGTATTTTTTTTCCACCCATAAGTGATTCAGTTTGGAAATTAACAAAAACAGCTATATACATACACACAAAACCAAGTCAATTTTGTAATTCATTGCCCATATTTCTTGATGCAAACTTCACACAATTGACTCAGGTAGAGAAGAGCAGAGGGAGTAATAATAAAAACAGTTAATAGCTATTTGCGATTTATTGTGTACCAGGTATTCCCCTAAATGCTTTTCTTCTTTTAACTCTGACAATAATCATCTGAGGTAAGTACCATTATTTCCCTATTGTACAGAGGAGGAAACTGAGGTTAAGTGTGCCAGTATTTGATCCAACTCCAAAGTTCAAGGTCTTAACCACACTGATGCTGTCCCAGGAAAATCTTAAGGGGTCAGAAGAGGGAAAAAATAATGGAAAATGTGAGAGTTTGGGAAGGAAGATGAGAAGCTAAGGAGAATTTACTGCCAAGACATGTGGGTCCATACCCACATGGACACTGGACAGTCAGGGACACAGCACCTTCTAGCCTACCCACAAACTGTCCTGATGTACAGCCTGGTGATGGCTCTGATAGGTGGAAAAGGCTGTTCTTCAACCCTTAACCCTTAGATACTAGCTATAGGCATCTTCTGTGGGGCTCTGCAGGGAAGCCTGGAGGAGTGGCCCCTCAAGGACTGACAGAGAAGGAAATAGTCAAAGTATCCTGGCTCATGAGCTGGAGAGAGGCCAGCCTAAGAAACCTAGCTGGCAAGCTACTAGGGAACTTACAGGCTGAGTAGTGCCTGAGCCCCAAATAGCTCCCTTTCAGTGCAATAAGGGAAGTGTTCTCAAAGATATAGGTGAGAAAGAGAAATCACTCTGTTAGGTTTCATGGGCACCATTGTTACTAAATCCAAGTAAAGGCCATTACTTCTTCTTTTCCTTAATTTCCCCCCATGACTAAAGAAACAAATTACCAACTGTAAAAGACTTGGGAAGGCTAGAAAAGAATAAAGAAGGAAGAAAACAATCTGACACCCAGCGCTGACTACAGTTTTGACACATTTCTTTCTTGTCACAGCTAAAGGATTTAAGCTCTTTACCACACAGGCTAGCGTTCTAGAAATGGCAAACATGCTTTACAGTGGACCATTTGATGGTAATTCTTCACAATACTCAGGGTTAGCAGTTTCTAACCATTTACACTGAGGCCGCATGACAACAGTCCCCTCATCAGGTACTAGAACTTTAGTAGCCAACTGCCAAATAATGTCTTATGGCTACCACTAAAGTCCACATAGATTCTGAGACCTGAAAGGAATCAGGCTGTGTCAACATCGGACTAAAAATAAAGACGTGAGGGGCGCCTGGGTGGCTCAGTTGTTAAGTGTCTGTCTTCTGCTCACGTCATGATCCCAGGATTCTGGGATAGAGCCCAGAAGGAAGCCTGCTTTTCTCCCTCTCCCACTCCCCCTGCTTGTTTCCCTCTCTCTCTGTCTCTCTCTGTCAAATAAATAAATAAAATCTTAAAAAAAAAAAAAAGATGTGGTTGAAAATTTAAAACGCAAATCTTAATACTGTTTAACGTTCACTGTGGCACTGGCCTTGTTGATAAGGAGATAGAGCTGTTGAGAATTCTATGGCAAGCCACTGTTTTGGAAAGTTTTGGAAGGGCTAACAGAGTTCAGAGAAGGGTGCCATTCACTTCTCCAAAGACATACCAGGACTGAATGCTTAATGAAGGCAGGTCATCAAAAACCAGATCTAGGAGGGTCCACAAAGTTTCACTACTTTAGTTCATCCCATTCTCTCTACCTGGAATGTCCTCTCTGCCCCCATTCTCGACCGGAAGGAACCCTCCACCCATCTTTCAAGGCCCATCTCAATTATGATCTCTGGGAAGTCTTCTCTTTCTCCACCTCTCAGAGATAAATAATTCCAGACTCCATTATGCTTTGTGAACATTTGAACATTCTGTACTATACAGCATGAGTTATTGACTTTTCTTCCTCTGTAGATGATGGACTGCTGGAGGACAAGAATCCAGTCTTAATCACTTTTGCATCCTCAAGGCCTGACTTGTGGCCACTCAACAAGGGTTTGTTAGATGGACAAGGATGGAAAAGCCACAATTTTTCAATCTCCCTAGTATCAAGCACAGGGCCTAACATAAAAGAAATGCTCAATAAATACTTTTGGAATGGAATGAAGAGAATCAATGCCTAATTAGAAATCAGTACACTTGGTAGAACTTTTCCATGTTGCAATTTCTTTGTTTATAGAACAGAAAAAATGATAGTGTAACCACCTGAAAATCCTTCACTGTAGGTATTGGATTAATCTTCCATAACCACACCCACACCCATCAATGAAGTCTTTGAATTTCTAGAAAGAAACAAATAATGAAACAAATCATGGTACTGTGCCTTGACCAAAATGTCATCTGTAAGAACAATGATTAAATAGATCAATGGACTAGCATTAGCATACCCTACAACAAGCAAATAAATGATTGTGTAGTCTTCTCATGAAGTTGCTGTGAAAAGTTTTAAGTAAATTTCACCTACACCAAATAAAAAATGGAATTAGGTCATTTCCCTTGGGAATGGAGTTTGAAAAATGAGAATTCCTTTAAGTTTTTTTTCTACGTATTGCCTAACTATGCATCTAGATATTTCTGGAGTATTTCAACGATTCTAGCGCTAATTTTTATAATAAAAATTAACCCTTTATCCTTACCACATGTTTCCAATAAGAACTTCAAAGGCCCCGTTATATAAGATTGTCGTTAAACGATTTCCCTTCCCAAAGAAGGAAATAATATATTGCAGTTTTTTTTAAAAGAGAGGTAAACCCTGGTACAGGCTACCTTTCCTGCCCGAGAGCGGGCATAGGTGGGTGGGTTCTTCACTATTTTACCTTCAAGGTATAATTACTTACGTAGAGTGAAATAAGGAGCCATCCTTTTCTAAGTAGCCTTCATAATGGACCAACATCAAATCCCCCCCTTTGGTCTTGCGATGGCAGATGAAAGGCTTCTGAAGCACCTCAATCTTCACTTCTGGTTCAGGGATCAGAGCCCCACTCAAAGAAGTGACCAACAGCGTCAGCACTGCGTTGCACAAGAAAAGCCTCATGTTGCTGGAGCAGGAAAGAAGTTCCTACAAAAACAAAGAAAGGGCCCCCGACCTCATAGAGCTAAGAATGTAGTTGAAGCCTTAAGGACAAACACCTCTGGCACGTTCATAATTCTCTGTTCCTAGCAGACGTGGCACATTTACTACAACTTTCCCACGCACTGCGAACCCACCTATAAAGAGTTAAACTCCAAACCCGGGTCTGACTGGCTCTCACAGCTCGGCCGCCGGAGAAGGACGGCTTCCCATTGGCTTGCGGTGCTGTCCGCTGGAGCCTCTCAAACCAATGATGCTGCAATAATTACAGCTGGGCGGAGCCGGGCACCAATCCGGCTGCGAACCGCAGGGAGTGGTCCTAGAGTTCGGCGGATTAAAGTATTCCACAACCTCGGACTTCTGGGGACAGAGTGACGTGAGGACCTAACCGGAAACGCCTCCGGCAGATTTACATCTGTAAAATATGCAGGATTAGTTTGCGCGGAAGAGTCCTAGGCCAGGTGAAAGGGTAGCGGTTCCCGGAAACACTCGTTTACTCTGGCGGATGCTGAGAGGCCGCCCCCAGGATTCCACAATCCTGCTGCTGCGATTATTTAATTTACGGTATAAACGATAAAGACTTCAATAGTTTTGTAGGGTTCGCAAAGCGCGTTCCGTTCCCGTGCGTAAACCCCACAACACGGCCAGTAAAGCAGGGTCTTTAATCCCAGCTAAATGATAAGTGTATCTGGGCTAGGGGAGGTTAAGTGTCCTGCTTAAAGTTGCTCAGCCTCAAAGAAGTTGAGCTCCGCCTTCAAACCAGGTCTTTGATTCATTCTACAACACCGCATAATGTTATGGCTGCTAATAATTTATCACTTAGGTGGTGACCGTAGGGATAGCGTCTATCGTGAAAAAGGACGTACAGACCTCCACTTTAAAAAAGAAACAGTAATCACGCTTATAAGGTATATTGGTTCATCTTAGCTTAAAATTATTGGCTTTACCTTTTTTGCCTAATTTCAAAAGCAAAACATATTCATTATAGTATAGTAGATTTGGAAGAAACTGGAAAGCACGAAAGTAGGTTTTCTGGTTAAAATACAGGAGTCGAACTAAATACGAATTTCAGACAAACAACGAATTCATCGTTCTGTATTTTATTTGCTAAATCTGGCCATCTTATGCTAAAGAAAAAGAGAGAGAGAAAAAAGATCGTCTATAGCGCCACCATCTACAAAGAATCACCTTGACATTTTTGGTGCATGCTTCTGTGACATACGACTAAAATAATCTGGACCAGATTGTACACTTGGGTTTCGTAACCTGCTCTTTCCACTTAATCTGTTGTTAACATTTTCCCTGGTCAAATATCCTTAGCACAGTACCTTCTCCCACTTTAATATGCTTAGGAATCCCCCGGAGAATCTTGTTAAAATACAGATTTCGACTCAGGAAGCCTGGGCTTGGGGAGACATCCTGCAATTTCGACAAGCTCCTAGGTGATGCCAATGCTGCTGTCCATGGATCACACTTCCACTAGCGAGGCCTTAGGGTTTAGACATGTTTACTAGCCGCACAGTATCCTATCGTGAAATTCCTATCAACTCCGTAGGCTCTATTGCTGGCTACCTCGATTTTGTGGGATCAATTAGCCTTGAAATAAGAATTGGACCCTGTCTGGGAACTAGAACGCAGGAGGCACCCCCAAACATCGAGAGGTGGGTTCTTCCCAATCTACGGTACCATTAACAGTCAGGACTGTATCCCACACTGGTCCCCAAGGATCTCCCTCCTTCCCGCAGACCCGACGCCTACACCCAAGCCCGCCTCGCAGGACTCAATTACCCTGCCAGCCCCTCCCGCTGCGACAGCCCCGCCGCCGCCGCCAACGCCGCGGTTGCTGCCAAACCCCGGAGTAGATTTCGGGAACGTACGCGCGGACGGCGCATTGGGCATGCGCAAGGGGGCCCCGGGCCCGGCGGGCTGAGGACTCAGGTTGCTCGCTGTTGCGCCGCCAGCTCCCCTCGCCAGCGGCAACTCGGAGGTTGCAGCCACCACTCGGGCCCACCGGGGGCTTGGCCTCCTTGTGAACAGTGCGCCGGCTCCACAGCGTGGGCCCCCAGGCCGGCCGCGTCCTCACGTGCCGAGGCAGCCGCAGTGACCCCGCCCCCGGGCCGAGGATGTGAGACTGGCCGGGCGTCCCCGCACCGGGCCCGGGCGCCGGGAGTCGGCGGCTCGGCAGCGCTGGGCGATGGCCCTGCTGCCGGTGCTCCTCGCCTCCTGGGGCTTGGGGCAGTGAGGGGGCCGGCGGGCGAGGGGAAACGGCCCCGGCGCGGCGGGGACCAAAGGACCTCGGGCGCCATGGAGGGGGTTCTGTACAAGTGGACCAACTATCTGAGCGGTGAGTGGGGGGCGCGCCAGACGCCGGGTCCTTTGTTTGAGCGGCCGGAGGGCGGCGTCGGGACGCGAGCCCTTTGGGTCGGGGTTATGGTCCCTCCTGAAGCCAGAGAGGCCTGCACGGGCCGGGAATATTTCCCCAAAGCTATTCTTATGGGTGACCGTGTCACCCATGCTGTACGGACACAGCCCCTTGGTGCTGGGTGAGGGCCGTAGCTGCCCTTTCACTTCAAGGGAAGCTATGAAATACTGAGCTTTGCGGTGGCTTGAAAGGCAGGATGCCCTCGGTGTCAGAGGGAGGGGGGCGCTGACTCTCGCAGTGGGGTCTTCTGGGAGTCTGTCGAATTCTGGCGAAGGAACCGGTCTCGCCTGGCCCTCAGATAGGTTGGAGGGTTTCAAATGAATGCCAAAGGTGAGCTGGAATTCCAGAGGCGAAATGTCCTTTTTCAAACAAAGTCCCCAGTGCAAACACTTTCTTTTTGTCACCTTCGGAGTCATCTGTGCGGACCAACGTATCAGAGTTCCACCTCAACAGTTTCAAAGATCCAAAGCATGTACACAGTATTTGCTTTTCTCACTGAGCATTCTTTTTGTTTTACAGACTCAGAAATTACCATAAGATGAAACCGTAGCAACTGTTTCGTTGCACTTCTGAGCAGAATGGCTTAAAAAGAGTACCCCGCCCCCTTTCCAATGTGTGGAAGTACTTTATTTCGTATCTTGGAAGGTCATAACTATTCTCCAGCTGTGAATATGATTCAGAACGAGCATTTTTTTTCATTTGTGCAACTAGTGTTTAGTAAAAGCCGCCTGCTTGTTAGAAACTTGGGTTAGGCACCTTTTGGGAACTAAGCTTTATTATGGAAAATAAGCTGGACACTTTTAATTTTAATAGCAGTGTATTTGAAACCAGAATTATTCCCAGTATCTCTTATAGTGGGAGAGATATATTGTCCCATCCTTTCTTTGACAGAACAGTTTTTTAAATGTTGTGGTGATGCTCTGGAGTGGTTTAAGGACTGATGTATCTGGGAGCATCAGTTGGCATAATGACTTTGATGAGGTTATATAGCACAGCCAAAAGTGCACCTGTTGGGTGTACCCAGAATCTCTTCCTTATGCAAACTGTGGTTAGAAGTGAGTTTATGTATTTTTCTTATAATCATTAGTAGAGACTGAGAAGTGTTTTAGAAGATCTGGCCTTTGCTTTTGAGGATTAAATTGGATGTGGATAACTTGTGTCTGGGCTTTGCTGAATGTCTGATGCTGGTTAACACTCTACTAAGCTAAAGGGAACATGCTTGATTGGGTAATTTTTCCTTTGAGGTATCTCTAAGCCCCGAGATGTATGGACCTTATGCCCTAGAGTAAAATTTAGTTCCTGGTCTTTCACCCTGTTCCATCACACATGCTATTTAACTTTTTTTCTTTCAACCTGAACACTCATCGTTCTTTTCTTCTACCTACCCCCCCACCTTTTTTTTTTTTTTTTTTTTTTGCTTCACCTTTCTTACGCTCCTTCTCCTTTATATAGAAAGGTTAGTCTCTGGGTACAGTACCTGCTTCCTGTTGTGAAATGCCCTTTTTCCGCTCTGTTTTTATGTATCCTTCAATAAAGTAAAATTTCTCTAGAAGGATCTTTTGGAATTTTATCATGTGATGTCTGTACCATCTGTCCTGTTGGAAAAGTCTCTCTCTTTTTTTTTTTTTCCTGCCCCAAGTAAGAGAAGTCAATTCTGTGAGTGTGCCAGAGTGGAAGCCCTAAAAAAAGGCGGCTGGAGCCATTGCCAGAGCCAGCTGTCCTTATATCATGCTGCTTGTTCCCTTGACCCACGTGCCTCCTCATTGTGGGCACACTGTTCATAGAAGCCCATCACACCGCTGGGTATTTTTCCTGGATATACTTCCAGTTATGTTTCAGCACGTTGTCTTTCATTAGGAGATAAATTTACTTCAGAAAGGAGCAGTATAGCCTAGGAGGAACAAATGCATTCTTGTTTCTTTTACCCTCCTATGTGAGTTAGTCTCCCAAAAGAGCATAGCGTGACTGTTAATGACAAGCTTTGATGAAAACATTGTTACTTCTTTTCTGAAGCTTGTTTTTTTTTTGGTTGGTTTTTTAAAGATATTATTCATTCATTTGATAGAGAGAGAGCACAAGCAGGGGGAGCAGGAGAGAGAGAAGCAGGCTCCCCACTGAGCAGGGAGCCCAACACAACAGGGGGCAACATGGGGCTCGATCCCAGGACCCTGGGACCATGACCTGAGCCACCCAGGAGCCCCATGAAGCTTGTTTTTAAAAGTAATATTTTTTCTTAGGGTTTTGTATGTTATAATTTTAAAATATATATAATCTCAGCCCCAGTTTGTGTTCATCTGAATTTTTCTCTAAACCATACCTGTTTTTGTAATTTTGTCATGCCCACAGCTTGATATGGGAAGCCTTTTGTCAAATTTGAGTGGAGAAATTAGGAAATCAGTTTATTAGCTGATCCTTTGACTACTTGGAGGATATTGTTAATTTCACTTACCACCTACTGTGTCCTGGGCACTATGTTAGCCACGGGGCAAGCAACATTGAGTAAGACAGACACAGTCCCAGCCTTCCTTGAGCTTATAGTCTAGTGGGGGAGAAGACATTCTTTGAATAAGTACTTAGAAACATGCTCCAAGTGTGTGTGATTTGGGGGAAGGTGAAGGAGAAAAGCTAGTTTGGGTCACTGGGGACTGCTTCTCTGAAGAAAAGATTTAAGCAGAGCCTAAAGGATAAATAGAAGTGAGTGCGGCCAAGGCAGAGCTGCAACTGGAGGTTGCAACGAAGAATTTTTAGCTACAGGGAATGTCAGTATGAAGGCCCCAAGGCAGGATAGAGACAGGTGAGTGAGGACAGGAAAGAAGACCCACATGGCTGCAGAGTGTAGAGTGAGGCTAAGCCTCCAACAAGGCTGCAGGGGTGGGTAGGAAGCTTGATAGGCCCCTGCAGGGCCTCTTACGCTGTTAGAAACACCATGGAGTGGTCGGAGTGCGTGAGAGAGAGAGAAATGATGAGATTGTTTAAAAGCTTACTTTGATTGCATTTATTGTATTTTGCTAAATACTGTATTTATTTTGTGAGTTTCTCTTGCTTCTTGAATTAAACTGGTAGGTATCAATTACTGAAAGTTGGAAGCATCATCAAACCCCAAGAATAGCATCTTAATTGCTTGCATGAGTGTAGTGCTAAAATACAGAAATAGAAGCAGTCCCTTTTCCTAATACACTAGGTATTATACTCAGGTACCCTGTGCTCCTTAAAAGCAAAATGAAAAAAAAAAAAAAAGGAAGCGAGAGAGAAAGCAAGAGCTTATGTGTATTTTATTCAACAGCCCTGAGCCATCGCATTTTATAAGCATCAGAACATTGGACATTCTGGGATTTAGTGTCAAGCCCTCTCTTCAAATATTAGATTACACCTGGAATGAAACGGAAATGGATCAGATATTTCACAAATACCTGTATTGTGTGAGACCCAGAGCTAGGCATTGTATGTTTGTTGGTCCGGGAATATTATACATGCTTGGTTGTAAATTAATGCTCTACAGTAGAACCCTAGTTGAGGAGTCAGTTGATAGCAGCTCTATCACTGCCAGCTTCAGAGTCACTTTACCATTCTGAACTTAGCATCTTCCTCCATAAAAATGATGAGATTTACCAGTTAATTATGAAAGTAGTAACTCAGTAATGTTCCAGGCCCTATTCTAAACATTTTACATGGATTATCTCATTTAATCTTCACGGCAATTTTAAGAAGCAGTTGCCTTTATTATCCCATTTTCCAGATGAAGATATTGAGACACAGAAAGATGAAGGAACTGGCCCAAGGTCACACAGTTAGTAAGTGGCTTCAGAGTCATTGCTCCATTACATAATACTTTGAAAGGTCCTTCCTGCTTGATCATTATATAATTCTAGCTGATTCATCATGCACCTATATTTAAAGTATGTTGACCTAGAATAGCAGACTCTGTTTGGGGGTAGGAGGAAGGGAGGAGTTCAGGAGTGAGGAAGACTTTGCTCAGCTTTGTGCATATGTTTTGTCACAAGGAAATTTTCTGAGCTGTGCTGTGAGCTTTCTGCTTTGCAGTTTTAGGTCCCTTTCCTGCTCACTCAGCAAACAGGAGGACTGCTGCCCTGAGCTCTATCCAGCTGCAGGCTTCATGGGCCCAACCAGCAGGTTAGGGCACAAGCACATTGCAGTATGCATTCCAGAAATAACAGAAGCTTGCATAATATTGACCAGATGGTTGTCTGAGGAGGTGCTATAATTTTGCTTACTATCCCCCCCAACCCAGGTGGAGGAAGGTGACTCTTGCCCATATATGTTTGTGCTGTAGAAACAGTGCCAAGAGGACATCTAGAATGTGAGTGATCCAGAGCAAGATTCTCATGGTCTCATAACCACTGGCCAACCTTTTTTTGTTGTTTTAACATTTTTATTGAGATAATGATTCACTTATCGTAAATTTCACCATTTAAAATATACTAGTTAATAGTTTTTAGTGTATTTACGGAGTGTAACCATCGCCACAATTTTAAAACATTTGCATTATCCCCAAAAGAAATCCAGTTAGCAATCATTCCCACCCCACCCCCTCTTGCCTTTGACAACCACTAATCTATGTCTGTGTAAACTTGTCTATTCTAGACATTTCATATAAAGGGAATCATACATAATGTGGTCTTTTGTGACTGACTTCTTTTACCTAGTTTTACCTAGTATAATGTTTTTTGGGTTCATGAATGTATAACATGCATCAATACTTCATTTCTTTTTATTACAAATAATAGTCCAGTGTACGGATATACCATGCCATATTTTGTTTATCCATTCATCAATTGGAAATTTGAGTTGCTCTATTTGTTTTGGTTATGAGTAAAGGTGCTGTGAATATTTGTGTCAAGTTTTTGTGTGTACATGTTTTCATTTCTCTTGAATGTAAACCTAGGAGTCGAGTTGCTGGGTCA